TTCTCTCTCTCTTTCTCTCCGTCCTCTCTTTCTCTCTCTCTGGGGCCTTCAAATGATTTTGGCCCCTCCTGGCGGTTTATTACGGTACTTCTGAAGTTATGGTTTTTGATATCCCATGATCTGGATGCACTGGGGTCATGAGTTTTGGATGGTATATAGCTTTTAGGCTCGGAAAGAAGATGTTTTATTTTGGGTCCCCTGGCGGCTTGCCCTGGAACTGCAGGGGCTTTCACATTAGGAATGTATTGGTAATTTAAATTGGTTTGTTGAGAAAGCCGGAAATAGATAGATCATGATAATTAAAACATCATTCCCATAATCAATCCAAAAAATGACATTTCAGGCATCTCTGAATATTTCATGGACATATGAGATCTCCGAATTCTTGTTCTATTTGCATAAGGCCGTATCATGCATGTATTAATCATATAAATCATCTTAAACTGTTAGTTATGTTTACCGAAGGAAAACATATTGTTTTTACTCAGTTTCTTCCTCTTCTTCTTCTCCAAACAGTGACCTCTGACCTGACCAATGACATTATTTGTTGATGTCTGTCACCATGGTGACTGGTGTTGGGATACATAATGTTGCAATTTAAGGGTCTGCTCTGCTTCTGTCACCATATAAGTAGTAAATGTATGTGAATGTGTTTGAGTAAGAATTAACAGAGCAGACCATGTCCGAAGGTAAACATTATGCATTTGCTTTGCAAATGTTAGTTCTCTAGTTATACTTTTTTTATAGATGCCAAACAAACATATCTTTTACCATCCACAAATGCAGGTCTAACCGAAAGGTCTCTGCCTGGCACTTCCAAAACGGCGCATGTGCAGTACGTACCTGTGAGGAAGGCGTACATCCACGGGGATTATGACCGGTTCAGTGACGTGTTTGATTACGACATCGCGCTGTTAGAACTCCGGGACGCCGCCGTGCTGGGGCCCTGGGTCAGGCCAGTGTGCCTGCCTGCAAACGTGCGACAAGGTAAGATACCACTTCATATCATGAAAATTCATATTCCTAATGCAAGTAGATGAACTTTGATAGGATTTGTTACCGACTTTGGTAACCTGTCAGACGATATTGTAGTAACACACATTTTTAAGAGGTTCTACTTTTCTCTCAACAGCTCAAATATTGCTCCGTGTACTCCTACAACCAGTTTCATCAGATGCTTTTTGTCTTGACATGTTAGTCTTGTCATTCTTTGTATATATTTGTTTACTTGCGGATCGATTAATTATTGCATTTAATTATTATATGTTAATTCATGCTTTGCTTGTCCCGTGTACTTTGTATTGTTTTAAGTGTTGGTGGCGGCATGAACATAAGTATAACTTGAGTGTGTCGTCAATATATGTTACATTAAAAACAACAATAGATAAACCATGTATTTTAAGATTATCATAGTTCACATGTTGACGATCATATACATAAACATTGTATATATAAACTTCTCGCATACTCTTGTGCATTCGACTTCCTCTCGCTTCTTAGTGATGGTGGAAATATAGGAGGCTGTATGATTAGCTAGAGTTGGTTTGTTAAAGACTATAAGGAATATACATTTTTGATATTCAAATATTTGAAGTGGATTCGTGTTGCATATAATGGGGTCTTGTGGCAAAACGAAAGAACGTTCGGTCCCGGGTTCGAGTCCTGCCATGCCACTGATCTAAGCTTGTGCCCTTGGAGAAAGCACTTTGCACGACTTTCCTCATTGTCTTTTGTCCGTCCATGCGTTTCTCTGTGTTGGTGGCGGCATAAAAATAAGTAGAACAAGACTGAGGCAATAAAAATCATTGCCAAGGCGACAACTGAATGATATATATGATTTCATGTGGTGGAGCTAGCAATCTACATTACAATTATAACAAAAACAGATTTCCCTAAAGACATGCACGTAGTGAAATTTACAGGATGGGTGGAGGAGGTGTTGGGCAATATACCAAATACACAAATAGGAGGAATCATCCGGCCTAAATATTCTTGGGGAGGGAATGTCAGATTCAGCTGTGCTCTCTGTCCATGGTGTGGGGAGAAGACAGATGACCAGTAATTAATCATGCCAGGCAGCTGGAAGGGTGGCACGTGGGCACCCGGTGTAAGTTACCTGCTTGGTCAAAAAACCACATGGCCGAAGGCTACCTCAAAACCAATTCCCTAGGGAATGCATTCGTGCAATTTTTGAAATTCTTTCAAAGCGATCGTAGTACTTGTACAAATGCCTCCACCCCAAAGGCGTCGCCAAAAAAACTTGAGTGTGATGTCTGGTAATAAATCTAGGAATAGGAAAAAGAATATTTGAAGTTGAAAAATTTACTGAAAAAAAAATGATTCTATCGCTTTCATCTAAAGGGCAATAAACGGTAATAAAACAAAATATCACTAATGTTGAGGTCACATTTCCAAACCGGGGCCCGGCCGGGCAGTCTTATGGAACGAAAAGTATTATACAAAAGGCAACAAAGCACAAAAAGTAGAAATAATAAATGTTGGGAACTATTTGCTTATCTTATTCAGTTATTGACATAAATACATTGTTGATTTTCGGTTAATCGAAACAGCCCGGCCGGGGCCCGGTTTGGGAATGTGACCCCGGCATGAATTGTGTTTGCAGGGCTGAGGATGAGTGAGGAAGGCACGACCGGCACCGTTGTTGGGTGGGGTCGCCTTGGAGACGGGGCCACGCCCACCGCGCAGATCCTGCAGCAGATCTCCCTCCCGGTCCAGCCGCACGGCACGTGTGAGCGGGCCATGGAGGCAGCCGGCCGCCCCACCGCGCAGTACACCTCGCGGATGTTCTGCGCCGGAGACGTGGCGGGAGGGCGGGACGCCTGCCCGGGTGACTCGGGCGGACCCTTCATGGTCTCCCGCAAGAGCGGCGGGACGGACCGCTGGCACCTGGTCGGGGTGGTCAGCACGGGGACTGACCAGGGCTGCGGCCGGCCTGGTCAACTCGGTCTGTACACCATGGTGGCCAAATATCTGGACTGGATCCACAGCATCATCAACTGACCAGTCGGCAGCGTTCAGTTCAGTTCAGTTCAGTTCATCCTTCAATCAGGTGACACGATGTACTGCCTCCACAAGTTCCTGCCTCCACAAGTTCCTGTCGGCAGCGTAAAGGGGCACTATGCAACATTTTTGCAGTGAACATAAGAATATTTTATTTTAAAAGTATTTGTGTGACTGTAATGCACAACATATTTGTGTAATGGTCTCACATTTCTGACATCTATGGTTGGCACTGAATCAGCCCACACGAGGCATACACAGTTTATGGTGCCACCACAAACTGACATAATGTAAGCAAAGTTGGCTGACAGTTGTGCTTTAAACACACTAGTAAGGCGTCATACCTCCACTTCCTGAATGGCATATATTTGCAATAGAATAGGGTTGATTTTATTTGTGATAGACTTTTTGTATCATCCAAATGTTGCATGAAGTCCTAGACACAGCAAATGCGACGTCATTCCTAGCGCATATCCCACTTATATACACTCCTTATAAATACTTGTCTTTAATGTTGATCACGTAAACTGAATTGATGCAACAACGATTTTATCGTGAGAAACTGAAAAGAAAATTTGACAGTATATTAGATACAAATAAATAGAACAGTAAGATTTTCACAGTATTAAAATCTTCTGTACGTACATTGAAATATACATGATGTATACTTCTGTTAACTGGTTGATAAAGACAAAGAAATTGACTTGTGGGTCTTATTGAAATTTGTTGGCTGTGCCTTAGCCTGACTACATCGCTCTCTTGGCAAGCGGCCCGCCTGAAGGCGACGCTATTATTTTGTATGTAGCTAGCATAGATGATGGTTGACATAATTAATTGTCTTTAATGCAAATCAGGATCTATTTTACATTCATAATGAGGGAATTCTACAAATCTACCATATTTCATAAGTATTCAAACGTGTAACGTGGAACTAAAAACGAGATAAACATAGATATGGATTATGAAAATTAAGCCTTAATGTGCATAATTAATAAAAAATGCAATATTTTATAATGGTGTCAAATCGGCAGGGCCATTGTCCATAGTCCATGGTAGCTAGCGACAATATGGAGCCGGCGGTAACTACAGAGGACGGCACCCAGGCTGCCGACTCATAAATGCCGCAAAAGGCCAGCATGTACCGGCTTGTCGTAAAAAGTCGCTAAGTACTGCCACAAATTCACAATACCAGCTTTGTATTCCTGTGGTTCATCAGCATTTGGGGTGGGGGTGGGGGGCGGGGCAGAAAATTTTAATATGCCCGCATGCACTAGTTTTTGCATCACTAGATGTCACGTCACCCTGAAGTTACGTACATGTAAGTGTGGCCTTATGTAACACACAGACGTGTGGTATCTATTATAGACCTGCTGATCGGCTGTCACGGTTCAGCGCACCTCTTCAAGGCAGTGTGACGTCAGCACGACCCGCAGGACTAGTTTGTATCTGTGCCTCCAGGTGTTGCAGGTACAGACTAGGCCGGGCTGCTCTAACCGGGCGTCCTTAAGTGTCCTTGTCTTGTAACGTCAAGAAATCAAGGTAAGACAAGGACTCAAGTCAGTTCTTACAAGGCGCTGCCGGTTGTCTTGTCGTCTAAACGACAAACCAAAGACACAGGGAACTTGTGGCAAGTCTTCCGTCTTGCCTGAAGGATATTTGGGGACGTAGGTGAGATTTTGAAACGTTGACAGTCGATAACAACGGGAAGCAGCCATCATGCTGTCGGTCGGCGCACGTCGGAAGCACCGTCTCCCCGTCAGGGGGTCCGTCAACCGGGCGTTCGTCGAGCTGGAGAAACCCGTGGTCCTCAGGCGCAACATCGGGGTCTTCAAAGCCATGAACATCGTGGTGGGCTGCACCATCGGCGGCGGGATCTTCATATCCCCCAAGGGGATCCTCGTAAACTCGGGTTCCGTCGGCATGGCCATGATCGTGTGGGGAATCTGTGGCGTCATCACCGTGCTGGGAGCTCTGAGTTACATCGAGCTCGGCACCACCATACAGCGCTGCGGCGGGGACTATGCCTACATCAAGGAGGCGTTCGGCCCGGTCCTGGCCTTCCTGCGACTGTGGACACAGATGATCATCATACGGCCGGGAGTCATTGCCGTGCTCTCCAGAACAGCCGCCAAATACTGTGTCAAACCGTTCTTCCAGTACTGTGAACCGCCGGACTTACCTGTCAATCTGCTGGCTGCCACTATCATAGGTAGGTTTGAACCCTGTAGGAACATGTATGAATGAAATGATATATTTTATTTTTAGTTTTCGTATTTATTTAGGGTTGCCCACTCAGTGGTAACACTGCTTTCAGTAGGACCCTGTATCATACATGAATAAACAAAATAAAAAAGTCGTACAAACAATAAAATTAAGATCCAATAAATAACGACATGAATGAAAGAATATCAATGAATGACTGAATAAATGAATGACGACCCTCATTGCAAATTTTGTCCTCACTGGGAGAAGTACAGGTCACAAAACAAAACATGATGTATGTAGACATGAACATCTATGGGTAAATGAATGTATGACGACCTTTATTGCACATTTTAGCCACACTGGGCTAAGTACAGGTCACAAGTAACATTAGGCCATGTTGATTTGATTATATGGATGACATCCGCGCGCGCATGAATTTTCGGCCGTTTCCAAAAAAAAAAAGTTTTACTAACCATACTGTAAATCGTGCAAAACAGTTGCTAAATGAGCAAAAATATACCATAAGTTGCAAGGAAAACATTTAAAAACGATACCAATGTAGTAGAATGCCAAAATCAAAGGAAAAAAGACAAAAATGTAAAGAAATGAATTCGAAGAGTAGAATATTCGCCATAACATATTCTGTGTCATTTGTTCAACCTTCATGACCACGTAGATTTCATAGTGAAAGCAACTTTTTTTTTTTGCAAAACTTTTT